GTCTTTTTACTTGTGGGTTTGTTTGCTGGAAGTGGGCAGCCGGCCCTTTTTGCCGGGACGCATGTTAGCCCAAGGGAGTCGCACGCAAAAGTGGTTCCAGCGAGTTTCATTTATCTCGTGCTTCCTTGTGCATTAACTTGAGGATGCAAATAGCCAACGCTTCATCCTTTATCCCCCGCTTCCTACGCATGGCCAGCTAGAAGTTTCGACTGTTTGTCGGGCGGGGCAGAGCCTGCCGTGTTCGACCAAATTCGGGGCGGTTACATTCCAAGCTGTTCGAGTCGGGTTGGATGTGCCGCTTTGCTCGGGTGGATTGAACGGAGAATCTGAACGAGACTCCGGACGGGCCGTCAGATTTCCCCAGAAGCGTAGAGACTTTTCTACCGCAGGAGCCGACTTCAGACGCAGATGTCAATGCCGACAGCCCGATGACTAGATCGCAGGTCAGGAGAACCACCTGCTAGGCTGGGGGTTTCATTAGAACTGGGATGGGAAACTGCTGGCCAAAAAACTTTGCCATGCGCTAAGGTGAAGTGTTTGGTCCTTCCCACTGCTTTGCACGGGATCTTGCTTTGGGGCATGGGTTCATTTCGACGCGTAGCAGCCCAGTGGATCTTACTCGGGTGGGTCCACGCGAGGCGCGCAATGCTTGTCATGCGTGTCAACTACCATGGATCCGTTTTCACTTCTTTTCCCTGGCTGACTCCTTTCGTTGACCTGATTGCCCCTGAGCTATTTTTGCCCTACTCTACTTCACCATGAGCAACACTTGATCGAGCGGACCCATGATGGAATCCGTTTGCCTGGGGATTGAATACCGCTTTTGTATTAGATTGCTCAATTCATGTCGCTTTCCTGTAATGTTCACCCCGGATTAATAAAACCCCTGGTTGATTAATAGGGGGGTGTCCCCATTTAGTGGGGGTTCATCACTTTTGGAGGGAACTCTCCCCTAATAATGGGACGGGTTTATGACTCCTGGGTCAACATTAGCTCCCACCTTTAAGCAATGAATGACGCCAGCCAGGCCTCGCCCTCCCATTGCCAGGCTTGCCAGGCTCCCTGGCGCGCCGCAGTGGGACGCAGCCAAGGTGTGTTGTTCGCAGATGGTTCACAATGCCAACGCCCTGTGCATGTCTAGGTCCCACCAGTAGTGCCAACTTTTACCAACTTTTTTGGGGGGGAGGGTTCCCCTTCTAAAAGTAGACGACAGAAAAAAGGGTACCCTTATTCTAGCCTCTCTACTGGAGGACCCAGATGTGCAAGCAATGCGAGATGAGCAGCATGACCATTGTTTATTGTACACCGCCTGTGTACGTTCCGAGGGTTTGAAAATCTGCTTGGCCGGGCCTGGTCTTAAGGGGTAAGTCCCGTGCTTGCTTTTCACGCGCTCAGGATGCCAAAGCTTGTTGATGATCGAAAGGTGCTTGTCTTCTGGTAGCTGGTCTGGCGGCCCTTTGCGCTGGCTTTGTATCTTCGCCAAGTCTCTTGGTTTCCTTCTGCTGTTCATATTGGCCGGGAAAGTCCAAGTGGATCTTGCTGTTCGGAATATGCACTGCTCTACACCACTGGCAGAGGCACATCTATGGAGATGTGGCATCAGCAGCTGGCGAGTCGGAATCGGGCTGAAAATGGGCCGAGAGTTTCGATCGGAGATGTTGTAGCGCACTGCAGCTGCAAAACTCCAAGCTGGCCGATTCAAAGCCTTTGACTCGTCCTTGATGGAGGTACTTAAGATTCCGTGTACTGTGGCTATCGTCCTTGCCCAGCGGTTGACCTCACAAAAAAAGTTGGCTGATTTTCGGCAACATTGCATATTCCTATGTTCTGTTTGTTTGAAACTTCGCCTGGCTTTGCTGGCAAGTATGTCATTGTAGACATGCTTGAGAACATTGCTTTGATCCATGCCACTGAGAGGAGGTGTCAGGTGTGCGGCGGGAACGCTTGGTGTTCTGCCTGTAGATTGGCAGAGTCCATCGAGACTTGCTGAAGCGCACTCTCCGAGGCTGGTCACGCCCCAGTCAGTAGTCAGTACTGTAGGTGGCAAAAGATAGCTGAGGAGCGCCCGCTCACGTTCCCTGTCAAGAGCGGTGGCACTGTGTTATTCACGAGTACTTGCTGACCACAATGCTGATGTGCGGCCGAACAGGTGTCAATCAGCAAGGTTGTCAATGTTACCACGTTGAGGACATCTGAGGGCCGTCCTAAAACCCCAGTCTTCGGTTTCTCTTTTGTAGATCACAAGCTTGTTTGCAAAGGTGCGGCTTTCTTCTGTCAGACGCCAAACGAAGCCAAAGCTTCTGCGGTCATGACTTCAACAATCAGCAACTGGCAGCTGACACGACAAAATCCGCGCAAGTTGCGCGCAAGCACGAGAAGCCCCAGCAAGACATCTAGCCATGCTGTCTTGGATGTCCTTAGCGGCGCGGTTCAAGCAATGGAAAGGCAGCCGCAACATGCACTTTCCTTCTTTCAGGCTGTGTCCAAGCTGTGTGGCAGAGCCTGCTGTCCTTTCTGCTGGGTCAAGGGTATGTTGCTGGCCTAGAATTGCCGGGAGCGACCTCAGCGGGAAGAGTCCTTGCGGGTTAATTTTTGATCGGCGAACACACTGCTTAGAAAAGCTTGCGCGCAATCCACACGAAAATTCGCAAACCGAGGTCAACGAAAACGAGTTTCTGCGCCACAAGTCCGCGCAAGTGCCGCGCAAGTGCGGCCCAAGGGCCCGATCCCGGGCAAAGGAATATGGGACAACCCCCATCTATGTTGAGCGCGGTTGGAACAGCATAGCGGGGTATAGCTTATTGCGGGAACTGTAAGCATGTTTGCGCCGCATTAAAAAACAGGACGCTGCATTCTGGCGTTGCCTTTGGCCATTTTGTTTGGGAGAAGTGTGTCTTTCCCCCTACATTTGCACACGGACTTGCCCTGCTTCGCCTTAGCGCGTGATTGGCTTGGATGTTTATTTGGATTTCTGCCACGCCCTGAGAGTTGCGGCAACCGAGCGCTACTATGAATGGTGATGTTGTCTTGGCCGGTCCTAAGTCCCCAATATTCACCAAGACTTGGTTGCTTGGTTGCTCAGGCTTTGGCTCAATAGTTGGTGGCTCACATTGCACTTGTTTGATGGCTCTCCCTGCATTTTAGTGTTGACCCAAAAAAGTGTGTACACTTTTTCTTGGCTGGTCACTGGATCAAGATGTACATGGTCACCTCAGTGCGAATTGACACACTTGCGGTGTGCCATGCACGCGCGCACTCTGATTTTCAAGTGCCCAGCACAGGTGGGCTACTCCGCACGTCCAAGTGCCCAGTTCAGATGCGGTGTTGTCTCTTGTTTGTCTCACAAATGGTGATTGAAAATATCTCCCTTGGCTTACGCCTACCCCAACACCGACTACTGTTGAAAGGCACATTTGTTCTTGTGTGTCGCAACGGGGAAGCACACAAAAAGCAGTCCGTTGCCCCTCAACCAGGGCTCAGTTGAGCAGCGCCAGGGGTCATTATTTCGACTGCTTCTCGGGGTTATCAACCTCAAAAGCTGGGTTTGTTTCCCTTGCACCTATAAATAGCGACTTTAGTGGAAACATACTGGGTCGAGTGTAAGATTTGTGTAGCTTTGTAAGATATGCTTGGAGATGCTAAGTTCAAGAAGCCGGCCCATGCAATTTCATGGTTCTTTCCCCACACAGTCGGCAAGCCACAGAGCGCGGTGGCATTAGTGCATGTGTTGACTGGCTCCAAACACTGCTTGAGCTTCTGCGCGCAAACTTGGGAGAAGCGTATCGTAACAGCGGCCTTGGTTTGTTTGCGCAAGGTGTAGAAATGAGAAACATATGCCTGGCACTGGCACTTGGATCCTCAAGCCGCACTGAACCGGAGGTCTGCGGCAAATGCTATCTCAACGGAGGCATGAAGTCTGCAAGGTGCTGTCTTGGTGTCTATAGAGGCAGCCAGGGGTTCGGGCATGGATTGCACTTGTGCCAGTTGCTTTCAAGTGAAAAAGGGTGCCGCTTGCAAGCTTTGCAGCTTTTCATATCCGCAAGTCGTGGAATCAGAGATGGATTTGGCTTCCTCACTGCCTAACTTCCCGGAATTTTTACTTTCTGGTAAGACGATTTTAGTTGCCAACGCGAAAAAACCTGAGTGTTTTGGCCCCAATTCACTCGGGAAGTCCGTTTCTTTGGCGTTCAGAGCAGGGATCGACAGAAAGTCCGATCGCTAGAACCCGCGCTACTGGATGGACGAAGTCCTGCACCGAAGTAAATACCAACAACGCTTTCTCATGGTTACAAGTGGTGCAGGAGTTCGTCCGCAGTGGTACTAGGGGGGTGTGTTCCCTCCAAAAGTGATGAATTGCTACTAACAGGGGGACACCAGGGGTTCATAAAACCGGGGCTCATATTGTCAGTTCCTTCTGCTTATGCTTTCGAGAATGTGGACTTGCTTATTGGCGTTTATACATTGTCAAGGAACACGTAAGCTTTGTTTCGCTCGAGTTTGAATTCAGCTTTGATTAGTAATCATAATGAGAAATGGCGAACCTGCAGAATCTTCACTAGGGCTGGGGTAGCACCATGAGTTCAACGTTTAGACTATGCCGCTGTCCTCGTTCAAAGGCAGGGGGTTGGCTCAATAGCAACCCAATATACATGAGAAAAGAGCTGGTTGATGCATAGGGTGAGGTCCGGCCCCCGAATAGGCCAGGTGTATTGATTCGGGGTTCAAAGGGAGTCCCACAAGCGCACAGCACACAAGGATGGCAGGGAGACAGCATGAAACTGGGTCCGGAAATTGAGGACTTGTGCACGCACCATCGTGCTGGGCGCTTGAACTTTCAGTGATACGGATGCGCAAGGATTTGTAGCGTAGGAGGATACGGGGTGTCATTCTGGCAGAAGGATCCAGGCATTTGGGATTTTGTGAGGGGCCAGATTTCCCTCGTCATACAAACATGCTGCACTCGTGTCATTTGAGGTGAATTGCCACCGGAGGACGAGCTCATGGGAGAGGCTGGTCTGGTTGCTGAGCAAGAGCTTCAGGCAAAAGGGTACGCATGGCTATGCAATTGGGTCGAATTGCTTAAGAATATTTGTCATTTTCTTCTGGTGGTGTTAAACGGAGTCTATCACTACTGGATATGCTTGTTCCAGGAATCTTAAGCAAATGGAGAAAAACAACACTTTTTACTAGCCAGGCAAGCGCCCGTCCCTTGACTTGCTTCGCAGGTTGGAACACATCCAGATAGGGAGGATAGATAGCCGTATGAGAAACAGAGAGAGAGAGAGAGAGAAAAATCACAAAGAGAGATGCCATGAATGGACGAGTGAAACCATTTACAGGTGCCGAGCCTATGGCAAGCCCATAACCAACTCATTAGGTTGCAGCCCAATCCAAGCAAATGCTCCGTAGTGCACGTTGACTTTTTACATATGCGCACTCCGCCTTCTGTAAGTGCGACACGTTTGGCCACATCGGCAGCTTGCAGCACATTGAACCACTCATTGCCCCAGAGCATTTCAAACCGATGAGGAGGAGAAAAGATACCCACCGAGAACAGGGCAGGTTACAAGGGTTGTCCACAGGATTGTCATTTTGACTCATTTGGTAGCGAAAGGGTGTGCTTTGGGAGGAGAAAACCACCATTTGCAAGGCGCAAGCCTGGAATGAGGAAGCCTCCAAGTGAAGCAATGTGAAGTACTTGTCGACTTGAAGGCCGTCTTTGCCAACACCCAGGTGGTTTGTCAGAATCTTCCATTCTGTGCGGACCGAACCATGTTTTACAAAGGGTGGCGTTTCCACATCCAAGCCATGTGTTTTCAACCCATGCCCTTTTAGAATCGAGGCGTTCATTTATTGTTTGGCAGAGGTTGGGCCCACAGAAATACAAACCAGTGCTTCATCCGATGGATGATTCCATTTGATTCCATTCCCCTTTTGGTGTCCCATTCTCCCGCCATCTCCCGCCAACCTCTCCCCCAAAACCCCCAAACCCCCTCTTCCCAACCATTTCCGTGTCAACCCAGCCCAACCCAGTTCTTTCAATTAACCCTTCGGCCTGGTTACCCCTAGGTTTTACATCATGGGGAACCCCTGGTTACGAGTACCCAGTGACTCCATTTCCCTTAGTAGGCATGATCCACCCGATATAAGAGATATAAGAACCAAGAGGAACAAACATGTGGGTTACCTACTAGAATGGTAACTGCCTGCGGATCCACTGGGGTGGCGAAAAAAAACAGCGTAAGGAAGCACTGGCTAACCCAACTAACCCCGTGCTCCCAGTTTCCTTCTAGTCCTTGGGTACGAATCGCTACCTCTTTGTGTCCTGAACCCCCTGGTTACGAGAACTTTTGGTGGCGAAGCGCCTGGGAGCACTGAGTAATCGTCTCCAGCCTCCGGTTTTCCCGGCGTTCCCGACCGCCACGCGAGTCATGCGAGTCGCCGGCACAGGTGTCCTTTTTGGTTGTTTCGCTTAAAAAGTAAAAGGCGATTCCTGGTTTACCTGGTGGTTCAATCATCTACCGGGGCCATCCATTTTCCAAAAAGGACTCCTATGCGCTTGAGGGGGTGTGGCAGGAGGTACTGTGGCCGAACTCCATTTCGCACCAACGTTCAGAAATTTCTGGTTTCGGATGATTGGCCTGTAAATACCCAACACACGTTATGTTCCCTTTTCGAAGTGGAGTCGCCGGTCTGCCAGGCGGAGGCGGAAAGTTCGGCCGCGGCGCTGCAGGAGATCAGCTCGGCGGCTTTGTCGGTGGCAGAGGCGGGGGCGGGGAGGGGGGGGGAAGGCGCGTGCTATGGGGGCTGGTGCTTGGGGAAGGGGGGGTGGGGTTGGGGGGAGGGCTGGGGGTTGCGGATTGGGGGAGGGAAGGTTAGGGAAGCACGTTGCCAGTGGGGTTTGGGGGGGGGACAGTTAGGGCCGGGGGGGATTTGGAGGAGGTGTGGTGGATGTTGGGGAGGGCCTTGAGCTCAAACAGTGGGGGGCGCTACACTAAATCTTCACCTAACTTCTCCTTGAAGGAAGTCGATTGCGTTTCGCTCCCGGCATTGATTTCAACTTACTTTCAACTTACTGGACCCCTGTTCCTGAGGGAGGCTTGGAACCCCTTCCAAGCAGCTTTGAAAAGCCGTTGTTGGACGGTGGCGCTGCCAATGACAGGCAATATGGAAACTGGGTCTATCCTTCGCTCAGCTGAAAAGCCAGCAGAGACAAGTAAAAAACATGAGGGGTGGCATCCTCCTTCCTTTGAAACATATTTTTCCCAGTGGATCCCAGCTACCCTTGTAGCAGGTACCCAGTTTGTTTGGTTTTTATCTTGGGTTCCCTTGGTCACCTGCAGGTGAATGGATCCGGGTCTCCATCAAATGCCAAGTCGACTCTCGGATTCCTCGGATTCCGATCCGAGCCTCGAGCCCGAGGTCATGCGGGACCTGCTCTGCATCGCAGATGGCATCGGCGACACCACGCCAAAGCCTCGGTCCGTCGGAGAGCTTTTCGTCCGCGGACGCGCGGGTTTCGCGCGGGTTTCGCGCGGACGGGCGGCGAAACCAGCGGACGAGCGCCGCCGAAACCGGGCGAGCGGGCACTTGCCAGCGTAAGGCGCCGGCCCGTTGAACTCGTGGAATCCATGATGTGGCTTGTGGCATCTTGTGGTTGAGAAACAGAAGCTTGACACGGGGGAGACACCTCTCCCTTTCATTGGTTGGTTTCGGTTGCTTGTGAAGCGCAAGCTGGTAGAAAGCGCTTGCGTGCTCCCTGCGGTAGCCGCGCTTAGGCCACCGGACTTTGAGTGCGACATGGTGTCCTTACGGGAGATCGGCGCTTCCGCCAACTTGACCCCTGGCTGCATCCGGAGTGACTGGGAACCTTAGGTGGTAGGAAGCACCCTCCAAGATGTTCTCGCGATTGGTTGCCTGTGAGGGGAAGTAATGCGTCATGCTCTTGGATAAGGATCCTAGACAGACCAGTTCAGGGAACCGGCGTGCAATGGCATGACTTGCCGTACCTCCACGCTTTTGTCCCGAGCGCATTGCTGACTGAGACGTGAAACCAGAAAGGTGATGGAAGTTCTTCGCTTCCAATGCAGACAAAGTTAATTGAGCCGCAGCCAACAGAAACCCTGTGTGCTTGCAAATGGGTTACCATCATCAGCAACGCGCCCTGTCTCCCATCACACTCTCCCAGCACATTCTGAGTTGCTTGGGTGGCGCTTGAGCCGATGCAAAGCACCGAGCTGCAGCGCCACCTTCTGAAGGAAAGGGATTCGACTCCCTTGTTGAGAGAGATAGGCCCAGACGGTCTTGCTTTCGGAGGATCTTGGCCCTGATCTGTCAGACTCAGGCGGCGTTAGAATTGACAGACGTTGGCTTGACCAGGTCCGTTGCGAGACCTAGTCAAACCACCTCACCTGTACCTGTGATGGGTTTGTCGCGGTTTCCTTCCCTTTTAACCAGGTCAACCAGAAATGGACGACACACCCATCTTCCGGTGTCTGCTTTTGTCGGTGGGAGAACAATTCTTCCAAGGCACCTCACATGTGCCGTGCGGCCGCGCGGATGTTTTGGCTCCTTTTTCAGGCAATCCTGAATTTCGCCTTTTGTCCTTTGCGGTCTTTGTTTCAGATCGGCTTTCAATTGATTGGACATTTTTTGTTTCATTTGTTTGGTTTTCATGTTTTTTTCTCTCCGTTCATGGTTCACTTGCCTAGGATTACCCAGAGCCTGGACGCTCCCTTGGAGAAGCCAACGGAGGAGCTGACGGCTACCGCCGAAATTTGGATTGGGTCTCTAGTGGTGTGGGTCTGGGTCGAAATTAAATTACCAGGGGACCGCAGGTTTTGATCCATTCCATCTACCAGGATTCCATTTTGGGTACATATTTTCGACCCACAGCCATATCTCCAAGCAAATAAAAATTGAAAGGAGAGGCAGCCTCTCAACAGCGAACATGGGGCACAGACTCCCTTGAAAGACGGTTTTTCAAAGGGAGCTCCGCTGGCTCCGCTGTCAGATTGGCTCTTTGGCCTGGGATCGAGCTCAAGGACTATTTGGGTCAATGGTATCCACAGGCCCGCCCCACACAGAACCAAGAAGCGCAAGAAGCCTGCTTGAAACATCCCACCCAGGCGGCCAGGCGCAGGAGAGCTTTGGCTGACAGCTTGCCACGCCAGGACTTCATCTACACCGACCCCACTCTAGCCAGGGCCTCCTGCGTGCCGTGCAGTTGGGCGGTTGGCTTTCGTAGCAGAGCGCTAGGCTGTATTGTCGCTTGAGCTGATGCAATTGTGAGCCCCGTTCGGATTTACAGCGGACTTGTTGCAGTCAAACTGAGGAATCAGGAACTGTGAAAGACTTTGTTCCATTTACCCTTCCTCCAACAAACGTAGCACCTGTGGGAATGCACCTGGAAGATCAGTTTCCTCTTAAAGGAGCCTTCTGTGAGGTGCTACGTTAGTGCAAGGGAAGGTACAGTGAATTACCGAGTGCCCACAGCCCTCGATGCGACAAGGAAAGAGCTCGACGGCTTGCTGCCTTGAGCTATGAGCTCGTGGAGGACACGGGTTTCGACCGTTCGGAGGGAAGGGCATGGGGCGTGTCTCAAATCAAGAAGCAACCGGCCAAACTCTCACTGTGAGTATCGCATTGCGGTCATGTGAAGCGCATGCTGATGTCAACTAGGTCCCCCAGTAGTGCTCTTTTACCCTTTTTTGGGGTAGGGCTCCCCTACTAAAATAGACTACACTCTTCTTCTAACCTCTCTACTGGAGGACCTAGTCAAATTCCACAGCAGTTTGATTCGTGCCGGACTGCTGGTATTTCTTGTGATTGGCGGCAGTTAGCTGGCCATGAACGAATGCCAAGCAACATGCCCGAAAGCAATGTTTGAAATCCAGCCGATGGGAAATTGAGGACCCGTGGCCCTGCAAGGCACCCTGTACAAAGAGACACAGACATGCTTTTGCTGCATAGGCTGGCCCTTTTCGGCTGAGATCCATTGCGGCATGTACCCACCCGCTTCGGCATCGGTCACAGGTGTCGCTTTTTGACTTTAGGCATTGTGCCTCCGAGGTGGCTTGTTTCTTTACACGGGTGTCGGTCACTCACCGGGGCTGAAAGTGTGCAAACCCTTTTCGAGTTTTCAATGGGTGCATTTCCAAAGGGGCAAGCCTTTCTTCAGGAAATACCCCGCGAGGTCCGTGTTTTTCTAGGGGTAACTTTCCCGCTCTTTCCAGAGATCCGAATCTTTCTAGAAAACGACCAAAAACCCTGGGGAAACGGATCTGGCTTTTGAAAAGAACGATGGCTGAAAAGAATGGAAAAGGAATCAACCCATAGAGTTTTGGAGTTTTTGTGAGGACATCGAGCTTGCCACTGGTGGCTGCGGCCAACCTCGAGAAGATGATGAGGCCGGCGCACCGGGCCGCAAGGCCCACTTGTGGCTTTTGAAAGGCGAGTCTTGGATCGAGTTGATTTTTTATTGGGGGGGAGTTGTTTTTTTCTTTTCAGGGGCAAAAGCACAGTCAGTTGTTTGCCATAAGGCCATAACTCTTTGGATGCCTCTCACCTTTTCTTTTGGATCTTCAGCACCCAAGGATTGTGCTTGGTGGCGCTTGCTTTTGAGACGGTCCAGATGTTGTATGCAGCGCCTTTGACTTGCGTTCTAGCTCCCTGTTCTCGGCCACGGCATTTCGCAACTGAATCTTTCTTAGCTTCCATTTGCCTAATATGTTGTGATTTCCCCGTGTTTTTTTGAGGGGGGGAATCTATCACTGCCGGAAATAGGTGTTTTTCTTTTTGCGGGGAACTTAAGCAAATGGAGGTTAGCTCTAAACACACCTTCCACCAACGAACCTCACAGTGCGCAGTGCACATGCCCTGAAAGAAACATACGAGGCAACCTTCCGAAAGAAAGTTGCCCAATTCTACGTTTCTTGGGAGGGAAGCTTCATTCGCCGTGCTTGTTTGGCTTGGTTGGTAGGCATGTATAGGTACAGTAAGCATGCATGTATACGTATTTGGTTTGTACCGTAAGACAGCCTTTTGTCAACCTTGAAGCATTTAGTCTTGCTGTTCGTCAGGCAGGCTTCTTGAACAGTGTGTCTCAGATGACCGGGCGGGTCATCGAGGACATGGAGAGGCCATTCGCCATCCGCTGGCCGCTGGGTGTTCTGGTAGCACGCAAGAACATATGGGTGTTTTTTTGGACGGTACCACTTTTCGTATAAGTTTACAGGGGAAACCAACAGGGAAGCCACGATTTTTGGCGGGGTCCCCTGAAAAAAGACACACCAATATTGTAATACATGAGTTCCTTTGGCAGTTGTAAAGGTATTTCCCTTGCTCCTTCATTTTGGTTGCCGTCTGACATATGGATTTTTTCAAGAATGGCTCAAGCCCCTTTTCCCTGGGAGCCACTTGCAGCTGGCCTATCCCGGAAAAACAAATGCGGTTTCTGCTGTAGGCCCATGTGGAATACAGGAAACCAAATCAGAAATGGATGGCTTCTTCTCTTTTGGTCATTCCATTTCTTGGGGTTGCCTGAAACCGCTTTCAGGATGTTGTTGTTGTTTTTGTTTGGGGGGTTTCAGGATGTTGTTGTTTTTGGGGGTTTCTGGAATGAGGCGGGTTGGGGGATTCCCGAATAGAATGCAAAACCATAGGTTGGGTTGGATGGGTTTTCTCGGGGTCGTTCCAAGTCATTCCCTGCTGAGAACCAGCAAGTTGTTGCAGGAGCTCTGCGTGCATGCAACATGCGCGGATTTCCCGGGACAGCCTCAGTCACGGAAGGGCTTCTGCGTTTGCCTCGTGCGCACTGAAAACTTGGCTCCGAATGAAGGAACCCGTTCTATCATTAAAAGGTGGTCCCTGCAGAAGTGGGTGAAGCCCCACTAAATTCAGGGACACTCCCAATTAACAAATGGGGTTGATGAATCTGAGTTTCTTAATTATTGGCATTGTAGTCGCTGGCTGCACTCAGTCTTACAGGCATATTGCCTGAGACAACAGTTATCATTTTAATTGGCGTGGCCCCTCTGTCCCATTGCGACCCGACAAGGAGATCCAATGCGATCCATTGAACTCGGATCTCGGCGGTGTCTGCAGGTTTTTTGCAGGGTTCCAGTGCTTAACCCACGCATATGGTTGCTGTTCCATCCCTCAATTGTTGAAAATGTGAATGAACTCATGCAGCTCTTCCTCGGTGATCATTTGTTGCGGTGCGCCAGGTATTGCTCAAGGGCTTGAGACACCTAACAACTCAACCCGGGTATTGTGTATGAGCCTGAAAAGATCTATGAGTTCTACAAGGCCAAAGCATTTCATCCCGCGTTATTGGGCAATGTCACCTGGGCTTGCACGGGCCAAGGTTGGTTTTCCCTTGGTTTTCCCTGCACTCTTTCCTGCCTTTGCCTTAGGTTTGGGAGAAGAACGGGTCCTGTCTGGATATTTGTGGAGCCCCTGTTGGAGGCAGCCGCCGTGACCCCACGGGTCCCGACCGGCGGAGGCTGCAGTCCGAGAGCTGGGCGGCCTCGGGACTCAGATGGCATCGGTCAGATGGACGGGACGAGTCGGCGGTGGTTTTATTTCTCCAACTCCGAAAGTCGGGTACCCTCCAAAAGGCATGGGCGTCCTTAGGTTAAGGTTGGTTAGAAATTGGTAGGTTGGTCAGAAATTGACGGGTTGCATGCAGCTCAGACCCCACTCTATGGCTACAATCTTGTGCCAGGAAGTCTCGCCCTTTTCAGGCAGTGGCCAACATTTTGAATTGACTGTTGCTTAAGAAGGGCAGCTTAAGGCTCCCTTGTGTTGAAGATTCCGGTGTTGTGCTGTTTTTGTTGGCACTGGTGTATTTTCCATTTGCCCTCCCTCCAACCAACATGGAACCGCTCGACGTTCGGGGGGTCCTGGTTTGGACCATGTTCCTTTGAAAGGGAACTGCGAACTGCGAACGTCAGGTTCCGGCTGTCAAATGGTGGGAGTGTAATCCCCAATTCGTGGATTGGAGCCCGGTGGTCCGGTGGTTTGGATTTGGAATTCCAGCCCTGGTTCTTGTAGAGGATAAATGGGCAACGGTGGTTCTTCTAGAGGATAAATGGGCAACGGTGCCTAACCGGGATGGATGGCAAACAATCAAAGGGCACTTCCACTGGGAGCTCTTTGCAAGTGTTCAAGGGATTTGTTTTTTTGGGGGGGCGTGCGCCAAACAAAGCCTGAACTTGTTCAAGCCCGACTTGTGAAAACCCGGCTTCCAACCCCGCTCGGGCCGAGTTGAACAGATGGGATCTTCCTTCAGGTTCCGGTGAGGTGGTCGCAAGCCGTCCTGAGCAAAACAGGTCGGAGCAACGTGTCACTACCCCGTATGTGGGGCTGCTACATTGCGCAGGGACATTGGCCAAGGTAATGTGTCTTCTCAATTGGTCCCCCAGCTAGGTGCCCTGAAACTCACCCTTTTTTGGGGGAGGGTTCCCCTGGAATAGACTACAGAAAAAATGGTACCCTTATTCTAACCTCTCTACTGGAGGACCTAGTATCTCAATTGAATTGCACTGAAAGCATCTGAAAGCAAATGACTGCGTTTGTGCAACCAGCATGATTCACATGACGCTCACGATCCGCATCCTAGATCCTACAAGAGGAATGCCTTGTCAGATGGGTTTAGACTTATTGCACTCACCAGGAGTCATGTTCAAGCCGCGTCAGAGCCCGAGTGCCTGAAGGAAGGGCTTCTAACAGCCAGAAACATGACCCAGTGCTTCCAGTGCTTCCAGTGCTTCCAGTGCTTCCAGTGCTTCCAGTGCTTCCAGTGCTTAGGTCTTACTCCTTTAGCTCCATTTCGGACGTTAAACACGGTTTTGGGTTTGGACCATAGGTGTCCTTTTTGGTTGGCTTGCTTAAAAAAGAGAGGGCCCTGTTTATTCCATTTACCAGGGCCATCAATTTCTCCAAAAGGCCGCCTATGGTTTGGACCATTTCAGGGGTAAATAAGAAGTTTAGAGTTTATTGGGGCCATCCACTCGGGAAGTGAGAGGCAACCAGCAAAAGCCATGAGGTAAACTCTAGAAGCCATACCGGTTGGCTGCTATAGAGGCAACTGGAGCTGGGTGAGGCAACTTGGCATTGGCAACTTTTGGAACACTCTGGGATCGAAGGCTGGCGTACTGGCAGAGATCCTCGAAGAGGAGAAGCGTGCCTCGGCAGGGAGCGAGAGAATTCGGAGAAATGCTTTAGGTGCTTCAGCCGGGCTTTTTCTAACAATAGGTCCCCCAGTAGTGCCCTTTGAGCCTTTTTAGGGGGAGGGTTCTCCTACTAAAATAGAAGACAGAAAAAGGGTACCCTTATTCTCACCTCTCTACTGGAGGACCTAGAACATGTGTTGGAGCCACAATAGGTTGTCTCCTGGTCGGATATATTCGGATAAGGCCAAAATAGATGGTGTGCAGTGTCAGAAAGCTTTCTAGGTAGCGCCCGAATGGTTTTGCCCAAGACGGCCGGCCAGAATGGTGTCAAAATACGCGGGACCACTCAAGCGGCGGTGGTCGTTTTTGTTTCCCTTCAAGCAACCCTCCAAACGGATACCCTCAAAAACAAAGCACATTCATCAATATGTTAGTATATATATATATATGTTAGTATATATATATATATATGTTAGTATATTTATAGATATAGATATTCGTGGCTGGCGGGATGGCAAGTTTAGCTTAGGCCATAAATCAGAAAAAGGATCGGACGTGTTTCACGGGAATGGCTTATTGTTTTCTTTGCAAAGGCTTTTTGCGCTGGGCTTTTGACCCTTTCTTCGCCGGCATTCTGTTTAGCTCGCTGGTGCTCAGGGAATGATAAACATGACCCCAAAAAACCATCCCCTGTGGTTTGCTCAAAGGGAATCCCCTTCCGGTTCAGTCCCAAGACCCGGACTTGTCATTCCCGATTCGCACCAGCACGCCTCCTTTCCCGGCCAGATTCCTAAAAAGCACAGGTTGCCTCAGCTTTGAATCCTTTGGCTTGCCGTGCTCAGTAGGGAGTGAGAAATGGAATGATTCCAGGAATTGGTCCCCTTAAAGGAAACCACCAGCGCAAGCAAAAAAAGGAAACCACCAGTTGGATGTTTGTTTTTTCTTTCTTTTTTTTTTTCGGGGTCACTCCAACTCATTCTCTGCCAATCGCAGCAAGTAACCCGCCCGAACATTCCCAGCGATTTCGCCCGAGGCGCTGCGGCTGAGAGCCGGGCCCCCAGCGCGGGTGTTGGGAGGTTTGGATGCCGAAGCTTGCCACCAAGATAAGCTTGTAGTCCATAAATGACACATGGTTTCTGGGGTTATGTTTTGCAATTTGTACAGCACCTGACAAGCCCAATGCTCAGAATTTAGGCGTTTTGTGTGATGGTGTATCCTGAAACTGCCCTTGTTTTGTTGCAGGGTTGGTTGCATCTCGTTAGACCAGAGCCTGATATCCAGGAACTAATTCTTCGCCTAAGGTGTTGAGTTGGCGTAGCAATTAAGTCCCCAAGCTTCCTGCTAGGGAATTGCCTCGAAATGCAGCCACGGTGTGTGACCGAAGCATGCCAAGAAGACCCGGCGAAACGTAGCACCCACCTTTCTTGGACTGCCGCACAAATGCGAAGCCAACTTTTCACCATACCGGCAGTCTTTGTGTGGTTCGTTTGTTTTGCTTTGCTTTGCTTTCTTATTTGTGTGTTTGTTTGTTGAATGTTTTTTTGTTGATTGCTTGATTGCTTGCTTGCTTGCTTGCATGCTTGCTTGCTTGCTTGCTTCCTTGCTTGCTTGCTTGCTTGCTTGCTCGTTTTCTTGTTGCTTGTGTTTAGTTGGTTGCCTGCCGTTGTTGTGTTTGTTGTTCTTGTTGTGTTTGTTGTTTCGATGTTGTTTGGTTGTTCGGTTGTTGCTGTTGTCGCTGTTGTCGCTGTTGTCTTGTCGCTGTTCTCGCCGTTGTTGCCGCTGCTGCCGTTGATGCCGTTGTTGCGGTTGTTGTTGTTGTTGTTGTTGTTGTTGTTGTTGTTGTTGTTGTTGTTGTTGTTGTTGTTGTTGCTGTTGCTGTTGCTGTTGCTGTTGCTGTTGCTGTTGCTGTTGCTGTTGCTGTTGCTGTTGCTGTTGCTGTTGCTGTTGCTGTTGCTGTTGCTGTTGCTGTTGCTGTTGTTGCTGTTGCGGTTGCTGTTGCGGTTGTTGCTGTTGCTGTTGCTGTTGCTGTTGCTGTTGCTTGTTGTTGTTGTTGTTGTTGTTGTTGTTGTTGTTGTTGTTGGTGGTGTGGTGGTTGTTGTGTTGTTGTTGTTGTTGTTGTTGTTGTTGTTGTTGTTGTTGTTGTTGTTGTTGTTGTTGTTGTTGTTGTTGTTGTTGTTGTTGTTGTTGTTGTTGTTGTTGTTGTTGTTGTTGTTGTTGTTGTTGTTGTTGTTGTTGTTGTTGTTGTTGTTGTTGTTGTTGTTGTTGTTGTTGTTGTTGTTGTTGTTGTTGTTGTTGTTGTTGTTGTTGTTGTTGTTGTTGTTGTTGTTGTTGTTGTTGTTGTTGTTGTTGTTGTTGTTGTTGTTGTTGTTGTTGTTGTTGTTGTTGTTGTTGTTGTTGTTGTTGTTGTTGTTGTTGTTGTTGTTGTTGTTGTTGTTGTTGTTGTTGTTGTTGTTGTTGTTGTTGTTGTTGTTGTTGTTGTTGTTGTTGTTGTTGTTGTTGTTGTTGTTGTTGTTGTTGTTGTTGTTGTTGTTGTTGTTGTTGTTGTTGTTGTTGTTGTTGTTGTTGTTGTTGTTGTTGTTGTTGTTGTTGTTGTTGTTGTTGTTGTTGTTGTTGTTGTTGTTGTTGTTGTTGTTGTTGTTGATTTGTTGTTGCTGCTGCTGCCGTTGCCGTTGCCCGTTGCCCGTTGCCCGTTGCCCGTTGGCCGTTGGTTGGTGGTTGGTGGTTGGTGGTTGGTGGTTGGTGGTTGGTTGTTGTTTGGTGTTGTTGGTGGTGGTGGTGGTGGTGGTGGTGGTGGTGGTGGTGGTGGTGGTGGTGGTGGTGGTGGTGCTGTTGTTGGTCTTGGAGTTGGTCTTGGTGTTTCTTGGTGTTGGTCTTGGTTTTTTTTGGTGCTGAATGTTGGTTGTTGGTTGTGTTGGTCGTCGTCGTCGTTGTTGACGGTCTTGACGGTGTTGACTGTTGTGGTTGCTTGCCGTGTCGGGCTTTTGCTGGGTGTTGTTTAGCCGGTGCCAGTAGGCTGGGTCATCTGCAGTCAGAGTCAGCTCAAAATGCCAGCCATGCAACTGCATTGTCACTGCCAATTTGCTGCCCCCATGTTTACGTTGAATGCCATGTCAGGCTTTTGAGCGGACATGCTCCTCATCCAATGCCTGCAGGGTGGCAACCAGCGCATGGATAGATAGGCAGGAAATAACACTGGCATAGCGATACAGGTGAGGTGGTCAGCAACAACCCGTGCATACACGCATTTGGTAGATTTGCGTGCATACATGTGACACGCATAGTGCACCACGCAGGCACCACACGCCGCCAAACACGCAAATACAGCCCTCGGGGCATGGTGCCTGGTGTCATTTTGCGGCCATGGCACCCAAAGGCCGGCGCGGTGTTTTGCTGACCTCGTCCAAGCCGAAGCCCGTTGCCGTGGCAGACGATGAGTCTGAGCGGCTGCAGTCGCAGCGGGAGTGGGCAGAGCTGGAGCGTGAGGCCAAGCAGATTGTCAAGTTGCAGACAACCGGGGAGCGGAAGCTGGCAGCGTATGACGACACCTGCCTGCACACAGATACTTTATTTCTACCATCCCTTTTGCTCAAAACTGCCGCTCTTTCCCGCTTTCTCCAAGAACTTGGCAGTGTTGGGCTTCATGGCCTGCAGCCGAAAAAGAGTTTGCTGGAACGGGAAAGCAAACGTTCAACCACAACCCCGCGGCCAAGAACTGTTTGCCATGCGTCCGGGCGTGGCTCAGTTCCATTGACAGAGTTTGTCTGGCATCCTGGGCCACTTCCAAGCCGCAGCGTGGGCACACTTGTGTCTGTAGGGTCCGAGGCGATTCCAAGCCTTAAGCAATAAGTAGTTCAAGTGGTTTTACATGATTTACATCTTAATTTCATACGCGGATATGCCAAACAGACCTGTAATGGAAGGCTTCGAATCGTGCAAGTTGTGTGTGCATGTGCTGGTGCACCATGTGCTGTCACGAGTGTGATTGCATCCAGTGAGTTCTCTTTGCAGGCGTAAGGAGGAGATGACAAAGTATGTTCTGGGCTCATGTTCGTCATTGTCATCCAACATATGAGAGCGGCCAAAACACCCTAACCTCACAGAATGCTGGTGTGTCTTGCGAAATTTGCGAAGGCGGCTTTGTGTATGTTTGGGGGGTGTCTGTTAAGTGAGGCTAGGTTTTGGGCGGGTTGTTCTAGGGCCCAACGAGAAACCGAGCGTTTTGGAGCTTCCCCGTTTTGAGCCACGGCGTTTTCGTCACCCGACCGGGGATGGCCTGAGGACGTGGAGGATCCAGATGCAGAGGATTTGGACCAGGCACCGGCCAACTCGGAGAGCGACAGCGAGAGCGCGGATGAGAAGGAGGACCCAGGTTGCTTTAACCTGTTCACTTTGTTGCATGTTGCTTGGATGCTAGGACTAACTTTTTGCCAACTAATTTACTAGTGTGATCTATTAAGTTTCCATTAAACCACTAAAAGGTAAACTTTGAACAGGAGAGCAGAAAACAACCGAGTGAGGACCCCGGATTAATAAACCCCTGTTTGTTACGGTGGTGTTCCTCTCCAAAGTGATGAATCCTTACTAAAACCGAACCCGGACACCCCCATATTGATATACTGGGGTTTGTTAATTTAGTCTGGGATCAACGGTAACCTGTTCAAAGATCCGGACCTTCTAGTCAAAGGAGCACCCAAGTAGAGATCAAGAATGAGTAAAAGGGGAGACCCAGATTAGTACGGTTCTCCAGATCAGTCCGAAGTTGACATTATTGTTGTTGTCATCCAATCATTGGTTGTTTGCCCTGGGGGCGAAGGTCGAGTTTAAACACATTTGGCCTCGTGCAAGGAGGACGGCAAGGCGGAGCCCGCGAAAGATGACGCGGAGGACGCTGGCAAGGAGCCAGGCACAGGCGGCTGACTTGGGCATGGTGGCATGCACTCTCTGGCCCGTCGGTTTTTGCTTAGGTTTGCTTTGGATTCCCCAGTGCTTCCAGGCAAGCCACTATAGTATGTAGGTAGCCCTTCGGGATCCGTAACTCTAGGTTTTGCATTATGGGGAAAAGCCACGATAGAATATAGGTAACCCTTCGGGATCCTTAACTCTAGGTTCAGCATCATGGGGAGAAGCCACGATAGAATATAGGTAACCCTTCGGGATCCTGAACTCTAGGTTCTGCATCATGGGGAAAAGCTAGGATAGAATATAGGTAACCCTTCGGGATCCTTAACTCTAGGTTCTGCGTCATGAACCCATGGTCACCATGGTCACCTACTTTCGTGGCGAAACCCTGGAAAAACGCACTAAGTTCCTTTGATGTTGCTTTCCTTTGCTTTAAGGCCCTCCTTCATTCACACGCACGGCCGGGGGCGGGGGGGCGTGGGGGTGTTGGCCACAGATGTCCCAGCATATCCACATGCTTTTCCTTTTGTATCTTACTTCTTTGCTGAGTCTTTTTTGTTCGAAGTTTACCGCGTGAGCGATGAATAGTCAGCATCATGCTATTAATGATTGGGAGTGCTTTGTGATCAGTAGGAACCCTTGAACCGTTCTGGCCGCGTCTAAGTTTGAAAGGTTCGGCTGACCAAGCCTTGCTACAACCCTGATTTGGGTGTTTTTTTTCCTTTTGAGGGTACCAACTTTTGGGTTTGTGTGGAAGGACAGTTAAAGGGAAACCGCCAGTTTTGCCGTTTCGTGCTTGTCGTTTTTTTAAGACAAACCCAGTTGCCCGCTGGAGGTGACTCGGAAGGGAAGCCAGATCGGAAGCGAAAGCGAGCCGGGAAGAAGAAGTCTGGCGCGCAGCAGCTGAGCTGGAAAACCAGCCATGATTCTAGGGGTAACTTCCCTATTCTTTCCAGGGATCCTTCTTTCTAGAAAACCACCAAAAACCCTGGATCTGGTTTTTGAAAAGAACGATGGCCGGAAAGAATGGGGAATCAACCCCTAGAGCCATGAGGGATTGATGAAGCTTAGCAAGGGACAATCCTTGCCGCGGATATCCGGATATCCGCCTTCTTACTTTTTTCATGGCTCTGGGTAGACCATTGTAATACGACTCATTTGTTGTTTGAGCGTCAGCCCTTCTCAGATCATGCGGGCATTTGTTGAAGGAACATGTGAATTCCCCGTATGCAGCACGTAGTTTCTGTCGGGGGTGGTTGGATTCGTTTCGGAAAAAACGAGCTCGCAGGGTGATGCTTCTTCAATGTAAGCGCAGGATTGAAAGCTGCGGGGTTGAGCTCTTGGACAAGAGCCCAAACCCTCTAAACTCTAGGAAACGGTTTGGATGCGCTTTTTGTGGATCCACCCCTGCATGATATTAAAAGAGCACTAAAAGAGTGCTAAAAAACAACCTACAGGGGGAAGAACAGGTGAAATCCACAAAAAGCGCATCCAAGCCGTTTTCTAGATAAACTCAATACGCCAAAGGACCCAAGGAGGTGGTGGCAACACAAAAAAAAAACGCGTGTCCAGTCCAAGCAGCGGAGTGTTTTTGGTGGTTACCAAGGAAGAAGCGGGAGAAGTTGGAGCGGGAAGAGCAGAAGAAAGAGGCCGAAGCTTTGTCGCCCATGGCCCATTGGACTGGGGGATTGCGAATTGGCCTCTGGCTCCCCCAGCTGAATGCCATTTTTTTGCCGTTTTTTTTTTGGGGGGGTTTTGGGGTCCCCTACTAAAATAGACTACAGACAAGAGGGTACCCTTATTATTCTATCCTCGCTACTGGAGGACCTAGGCCCATATCCTTTAGTAGGCTGCCACGAACCGCATCTTTCCGTGGCTTATATGAACAATGTTCAGGGAATATGGCGGCCAGAAGCATGTCCACTTCTCAGGGTTAATTATGCGAGTTGCAGTGCGACAATGCGAAGTCCGGAGGGCGCTCTCGCTCGCGAGAAGGTTTGCAAGGACCAACACCGACCGGGAAGGAGATTGTTCTGTCTTCCCCTTTGCCGCATTTGCGGGTTGAAATTATATTAATATATTTTTTAGTGCAAATCTGCAATTTCAGGGTTCTTTTTTGCGACAACTTGACCTGCCAGGCGAAATTGCTTGGGTGCCAAGCAGCCTTCCCAAGATTCCACTTGTTTGGTGAGTTTGTTCGATTATGGTACACCCAGATGCCGAAGCACCTGCAACTTGCTTCCCACTTGCATGAGTTCACCCAGCGAGCGCCTGCCCGGCCATTTAAACCATGCCTATCCACCAGGCGAAAAGGACACCACTGACACCACTCTCTCTCTCTCTTTTTTGGGTGTGGGGGGGTGGCAGGGGGGCACCTTGAGATGGGTTTTAAGAATTCCAGGAGGACGAGGACAAGTGGCTGAAGCTGCAGCTGGCTGGGGAGGAGAAGCCCCGGCGCATCGCCGCCAATCGCATCGTCTCCTACTACGACTTCGACGGCCGGGGCAACCCCATCCGATTCTTTGTTCAAAGCGAATCGACCTTTTGAGCTGACGAAATATGGACCAAAATTGGAAGCCATAATTTTGGTTTCCAATTTTGGTCCATATTTTGTCATGGCCCCAAAAGATGATCACCTTTTGGTTTCAGGTGCCGTAAAAGCAACTGAGGATTCGCGGCGGGGGCACCTCGCCCGGAGGTGGGGCCAATGGAGGAGGCCGGGCTCGCCTTGGCTCAGCTTCTCCCCCAATTCAGGCTCCTCAAAGGATATATTTTGCCCAATTGAAATATGGCTTTTTCCGCAAAATAATGGGAAACCACAATTTACAGGGCAATGTTCAGGTGTATAATGTAAGGATCCCTGCAATTGGTGGAGCCCAATGGGTGGTTTGGTGGTTGGGATGGTTTCCCATGCAAACCCTCTATATACAAGAGCCAGGGCTTTAGATCCAACTCCAAGCCAATGTAAACCACCGGGTTGCCTTGAGATGCAGCAAATGGGCAGAAGAACTTCATAACTTCCAATTGCTGAAAGGGATATGCTTGCCCTTTTTGGCGCTAAGAGGAACCTATCACTACTGGGCTTCTTTTTTTTTGCAGGGGGCTTAGTCACATGGAAGATAACGTTGGACAGAATCATGGGGGGCTCCAACAAAAACAACTGCTAAAAGACAGACCCAAGCTAGAATACAAGCTGTCTAAGTGTGTAGATGATCATTTCTCCCCCAAAATGTGTCCGTGAATAGTCGCAGAAACACTTGCGAGAAGCACCCAGAGATAGGGCCTGATTACGCTTTTTCCTGCCGCAGTGCTTCAGACAGTTCTCGTTTGGCCAGTGCCAAATTTCTGAGTCAACGTCTGTGCTTCCTATTTGTTCTACCTTCAGGTTGCTATTGGCTTTCTCCCGGGTTGTGAGTTGGAAAAACCCGGGTAGAATTTGGGGGGGTGCAATGTGGTTTGTCAACAGGAACATGATTTGTTTGAATACGATTCTCTTAAAAGCTTACGGTTCTCTTCAAAGAGGCCCGGTTATCCTTTTGGACTCAAACACTGCAAGACACAGGACAATTGGGGGTCTGGCCGTCAACTTACCAGCCCCAACAGTTCGTTTTCCTTGAATTGCTGCCAGTCAATCATTAAGACACGACATACTTTTTCAAGCAAACCTCCCACACCGTCTTTGGCTCGGTGCCAACATTGCCCATAACTCCAACTTGTCAAAAAGGAAACACCAGAAGGGGATGAAATTCGTCACTTTTCCCAGGCCGGTTTGGGCGTGTCTTTCTTGAGGGCACCCTTTTTTGTGGGTTTCGAGGGGGGCCCAAAAGGGCAATCACCTTTTTGGGAGGGGGTCCCTAAAGCAGCCAGACCCAGTTAGCACCAGTTGTTCAAGAAACACGGCCTTTGCGGGACTTCTTCTGTAAGGGTTTGTGTATTACACCCTGGGAATACGCTCACTGGGTATTGACCCCATTTAGGCACATTTCCGGATAACACTGTGTTATTTTGAACAATTCCGGGTCATTTCCCAAGGGTGTAATCCCAGGCTGTAGGGAATGGCATTCCCTTGAGTCTCGCTGCCGGCTGCCCAGTGTGCCCCCACGTCAGTGGGACGGATTCCGATGGCACACGGGAGAGAGAATACAAAAACCCTCAGATCTAAAAGTTCAAGCTTAAGCTTGTGGCTGAGGGCGGAAGGCCAAAGTACTGTATGAATCATTCCCACCCTACCCACGAAGCACCGGGCCTTTCTTGGGAAACCCAAGTTGCGACTGAGCAGATTAACATAGATTAATTTGTTTAGACATGCCCATGTCAATAAACAGGGTTTATTAATCCGGGGTCAAGATTAAAGGGAGACCAGAAGCCCGGGGTGTAGTACAAAAACCCTCAGATCTTCACTCCGCAGGATGAAGATTTCATCCCCGGGGATTGCCTGCCTGCGCCCAGCGGCAACTTCCGCGCCAATCTGCGGCCAGACCTTTGGGATGACAGCGACGAGAGCTGAGCGATCCGCTGGGTGTCCTTTTTGGCCAGTTCGTTTCAACATTGATGGATTCTGCTTTACAGTGTAAATTGGTTGAAGCTTAGATTCTGCTGATTTCATATGTGTATATATATATGAATAGATATGTATATGAGGAATATATGCAAACATGCTTTTCGACCAGTTTGGTTGCGATTTGATGGCTGTTGCTGGTTTCAGTTTTTCTCATCACTTACCACTTACCAGTGCAATGTTTGTTATCCAAAAGGGCACCTAGGTCAGGCGAGCGCGGCAAGCGGGGCGTGCGCCGGAAAGGGGGGCTGCCCTAGCTGAGAGGAAAAGAACATGATAGCACGCCATGAAAACAAGATCAAACGGGATCACGGGAACATCCATCGTTTTGCTCCTTCATTCTCTACTGAGCACCAGCAGGTCAAAGGGTCTTTTCTTTTGGTGTGTTTGAGCCATGTCCAGCTAGTTGTTTGGCAACGTAGGGTTCTAAGTCACACACTGCAAAGTGGCAAGCAATGATCGTCTTGTTGTTTGTAGCGCTGCTGTTTCCAGAAACAGTTTAGATGGTTGTGTTTGTTGAGCATGGTTGAACGCAGAGGCCCTCCCCTTGCGCAGAGCCGAAGCATTGGGTTCGCGCTACATGTTTGCAGATCTGCGCGTCAGGTGCTTGGCGGTCAATAGGAAGCCGTGGCAGGCTATGGTCCAATGGTACGATGCCAACCTGGAGTGTCTTTTCAGTTGTTGGAGTGTCGTTTCAGTTGAGAATGTGGACCCACTTTATTCCTGCAGACCATGAGGGACCATGGCACGCCAAGCCGTATGCACCAGCATGCAAGGATGGGAAAAATAAGGGTGCGCTGCAACCACACATGAGCCACCCTCAAAACCAGAAGCTTAGTAAGGGACAATCCCAGCCATAAATTGCTGCGGCCTTCTTAATCCTTTACATGGTTCTGGGTTCACCATGTTTGTACCAGTTTGTGGATGGGCAACATCCATTTCGCACCTTAAGAAACCCTGCAAGGTTAGTTTCCCTTATTCTTACCAACAAACAAAGGGTTTCCCATGGTTTGAAGTGCTGCAGGGTTTTTTTGGCCCCAGAGAAGAGAACCACTGCAAGGTCGGGAGTAATTGGTTGGGTCTCAGGCCGTGACGTGCCTTGACTCGAGCTGAGATTTGTATTTGAGAAGATCGCACCAGGCACAAGATGCCTTTACTGAAAGCGGCAGGGTACTTTGTAAGTGGATAGTAACCTTTTTGCTTGGATGTTAGGACTCTAACTTTTTGCCAACTAATGGGTTTTCCACCAAACCACTAAAAGTTAAACTTTTAGCAGGGGAGCAGAAAGCAACCGAGGTTATAACCCACTTACTGTACAGTGCCCCTTTACCTCGTGCGTCCTTCGGACGTTTCGCCACGAGAGGGGAGGGGTTTCCAACTGAACCTAGAGGTGGCCATAAGGAAGGGGTATAGTGGCGAAACGACAGAAGGAAGCACTGGGATTCGAGGAATGTGGGATTGGTTCTCATATGTTTAATTTTCCAATTTTGGTTTTACAGGGAATCGATTTCAGCACTGAACGTCAAGTGTTGCCTTCCTGTCTTGACAAGTGGTTATTCTCGGTTCTGTTCTGTTTTAGGAACGGGTCGGGTCTGCAAAAAACAGAGCCAGTTTCTTGCCAAGCCATACCGGTTGAGTTGTCTACTGTGGACTCTTGCCGGAAGGATCCCACCTTTTTGTCGAGGGCCCCCAATACGGGCCCCCTAATCCCAATAGGGGCTAGCGACTAATAGGGTCTGTTGGGGGGGGGAATAGCAACTAATAGGGTCTATGGACGGGGGGGGGTAATAGCGACTTATAGGGTCTACAATGGGTTTCATGGGCAGGGGGCTAATGGTTTAATAGGGTCTATTGGTGGGGGCCCGGCTTAATGAGTACATTTGCATTGGTCCCCTCTTTCGGGGGCCCCATGGGATAGGGGCCCCATAAAATAGAAACGGTTGGTGACCTCGTTTTGAAGCTTCAAACCACATTTGTTCTGAGCATGGAAAGGCAAACTGTTTGCAACTCCTCTCACTCTTTGAACTTCTGAGCTGTGTTCTCTGCATGTGCGTTTCCAGCATGATCTCGAACAGGTTTGCAATTCTTGTGGGACCTCGTTTCGACAAGCGTCGAGGCGAAGAGAAGCCCGAGACGGAGGCCTGGCGCCGGGCGACTCCGCGAAACCGGCGGCTCGCTTTGCGGCGAGGATCGGGAATGACCAGAACCACCCACGGCGTATGGCTTCCATTCAGGGAATCGCCATTCTTTGGTACCAGGTTCTGATTATGACTCACCAGATGTTTCCATTGTTTAGGTATTGTTAACCCCGGAGTAAGTAGAACCCCTGGTTGATTTTGATCGGGGGGGGCGCCCCCTTTTAGTGGGGATGCAGACCACTTTTTGAGGGAACACCCCCTAATAATGGGACGGGTGTATTAATCCTGGGTCAACATTACGGGACTCCCCATGATATTAATCACCGTTTGTTTATATAGCAGGGGCTTGGTTTTAGCTGGTTTCTCATGAATGTTGACCCCATGTTTTCATCAACCCCTGTGAATAGGGGGGTGCCCGATTCTGGGTGAAATGTGTGGAATCAGATGATTTTTGGAGGGGAAAGCCCCTCTGTGAATAAACAGGGGTTGATTAATATGGGATCAACATGAATAGAATCCTCTCCCGGTTCCACCTCTTTCAATAGCCAGGGGCGCTGAGAAATGGAATGACCAAAAGAGAAGAAGCCATCCATTTCCGATTTGGTTTCCTTTCTGCGGGAATCCCCTTCCAGCCGGCGTATTCGAATCCAACACCCGGAAAATGTTATTCCTTACCAATCGCACCAGCCATAATTGCCGCGTGCCAAGGCTTGTTCAAAAAGACACGGCCATGTTGCAATGCATTTGCAGTGCTTCCTACCCCCGGGCGGCCCGGGAGTTTTGCTCCAGGCATCCTTGCAAATTGTCGGCAACGACTCGCAGCAGCTGCTGGATGGCGAGGACTGCCAATCAGACATTGATGGGTAGGGAGCCCCTTACTTGTACAATTGTCACACACAAATTGGCAGTTGATCACTGTTCTTAAAATTGTAACACATGCGTTTAGCTTTGGCCAGCCATGTATTGAACCCGGTCAATCGCAAGTGAATATTTGTTTGCGAGCATGGCTGCACACTACTTGGCCAATCCCCGGCTATTCTTCTGAGTGCCTTGCTATTTGGACGTGAGCGCTCTTGTTCAACAATCAATCCCACGCCTTAAAGGAGGAAAGTACGTCGGCCGCATGTCCCTTTAAAGGGGTCTTTCAGTGCCGAGCTTTTGGCGAGACAAGGGAAATGAAGCCATGGGCTATCATTTGTCCTTAAACAAGTGCTTAGCTTTGGCAGGACCCCAGGATCGCTTTATTGCACGGGCGCCCAGATGTGCAAACCGAGGATGGAATACAAGCGCCTTTCAGGTGTGTTGAAAGGGAAATCCAGAGGAACGCCACCACTTTTGGGATCCCTCTATGTTGAGGCACACCAGTTCTTAGTTGAAGCACTTCCCTTTGTAACAAGTACCAATGTTGCTCTAAGTATCCCCTAGACCTCTTTGGTGGCCAGAGTCATAGAGCCAGCGACAAGTGAGGGGCCAGAGACGACCATCGATGCTCCTCTTGCTATAACTTCGGACTGGAACGGACTCCAAACACCTGGCTGTGGGTCAAAACCAATGGGATCCCATTTTGGGGTAGGTGAATTTACCACGTATTTTAGAACCTCTTTTAGTGGGGATTGGGATGTTCAGGGGTACGATTTGGCTTGTGACCCATGGCCACCTGTTCCAAGCCTCGTGCGGATCAGCGGAGCGCAGGGCGCAACGAGAGCGAACTCTTTGCGGGAGGTGCCGAGGGGTCCTTAGATGTGGACCAACCGTTGCTGTTTAGTTGGAACTTCGCATGTCCCCGGGGTCTCCATGACCCTTCAAAAATTAAGGGTCGTGGAGAGCAGGGTTGTGGGATCAAGGGGTTTCTCCCCACTTCTGTGATACAAGGGACTCCCCCTTTATATGACCAAAATAGTCTTTGGGAATCACTTTCTGTTGTATCACAGAAGTGGATTCCATTCCCCACAGCCCTGGTGGAGAGTCTCCGGGGGCATTTCGCTTTTGTTGAGCTGCGCCCGCCGCTTTGGGACTCCCGAAGCACCGAAGCACCGAAGCCGTGAGGCTGGCCCGCACTTTGGCGCGCCTGCGGGGGGAGTCCAATGGTTTCGACGACGCGGAGGCCATGGCTGCTGTGCAGGTAGCTTTTGGTTCGGCTCGGCTGTTCAAAGGTAATCCGCAAGATCCTTACCTTGGGTTACGCAAGGAACCGGTCCCCTTTGTAGTGGCTTCCCTATGGATTAGGATTTGCCAAGCCTCCATTTTGAACAGCCCAGCTGGGGATTTGAGCTCCTGGTTCAGAGAACCACCATTCACTGGTTCAGTCCCAAGACATCACAAGCTTCAAGTTAACCTTATTGGAAGCTTGGATTTGGACCCCTGGTTCTTGTTGAGGGTAAATGGGAAAGAACCTACTAACCTCCAAACCACCAGCCCAAACCACAGATCTGAGGGAAGCTGAGTGTTCGCAGTGTTTCTGCGAGTCATGATGGGGAAGCCTCATAACTGCATCTCAATTCATCAATGGGCTGGGAAGCTGGCAAGGAATTCTACATAGGACAAATTGCCAGAAGTCACACTTGGGGCCGAGGAAGGGTCCCGGTACCAGCCCATTCAACCTGCTGGGATCTTTCGGTAAGTCTTTGCTTTGTGGCTATTTGGTTGGATCTTTGGACTTCAACTTTTCTGGGAAACAGAAGATGTTCCATGGGACAAACCCACAAAAAAGACAACTTTTTGCTTAGGGGTCAACGGCAACCAAGTTTGGGCTCATGCGTTAAGACGATCATGTCTTGAGCCTGGAGCCAGTTCTTTAAAGCGAGGATTCTTATCCAACTGCTGCAAAGTATGCAGGGATTCACTTGGGTTTCCAAGCAAGGCTGTTCAAATCCATTTGGAGCCGAACTGTGCATGAATTGGTTGCAGCCAGAAGCTGGGTTTAGCATAGATCTGGGTGAATTATAACGACCTCACACAACCTCACCCACACAGGTGAAATATTATAGTTCACTCAGATAGATGATAAATCCTCCATCTTGTGCAGCAGCGTATTCCCTTGTTACAGGGTTTCGGGATTGGTTGAGACTTGCCGTCCATGCCCAGAAAGAAGACCTGCAGAACGCCTTCCTTCGCTTCAAGGCGTGCGAAGGACACAGATCTGCTTCGCTCACTCTTTTGAGCTAAATCCGAGCTATTTGGCTGTGGGTCAAAACCAATGGTACCATTTTGGGGTAGGTGAATTCACCATCCATTGTAGAACCTATTTTAGTGGGGATTGGGATGTTCACAGGTGGTGCGGGATTTTGACCCATGGTCATTTGTTTTGGATGCATTCTAATTAGGTACCCTGACGATAGTTAGTTTGAGTTTGCCACGAGGTGGACCTCTGGAAAACTACTATCATCACTATTGTACCCAGTGCTTCCAATTGCCACTGTAGTAAGTAGGTATTGTGGTTACCTCTATGTCTTACATCATGGTTCCCCTGGTTACCTACGACATTGGTATTTGTAAGTACTTGGCAGGTAACCGGCCATTTTCCTCTTGGATTTCTTCTGTGGTTCTCTCGGGAACCTACCAGGAAATCCGACTCCTGAATGCTGTTTGGACCTTGACCCTTCAACTCTGAGGGGTTGCAGACTTTGGTGCATTTTGCTTGGATGCTAGGACTGTTAGGACTTTAACTTTTTGCCAACTAATGGGTTTTCCTTTAAACCACTAAAAGTTAAACTTTTAGCAGGAGAGCAGAAAGCAACCGAGAGCAACTCATATCGCTCAGACTGCTGTTTGCGTGCCTGCGCACCAATGCTGACCTTCAGACAGATCTTGGAATGCGACCGGGTGGATTTCCGGGACAGTGAGCTGATGTTGACTGTCGCTGATTGAGTTGGGTGCGGGGTGCAGGCTTGTCACAGGGCGACCCTGCTGACTGAGCAACTGGAGTGAGTGACGCTGATTGGGGTTATGATCAAAACTTTGGATCCCTAAGGGCTCCTTGTGAAGAAAACATACCACAAGGGGTCCCCACTTTTGCTACAAAGATGGCACTTATAGCAGGGCGCCTGAATCAGGAACCAGCTTTGTGCCTGACAGGTGCCTGACTCGGCTGATATCCACAAGGACGGGATGCCAAACGGTAGAACCGGATTTGAATAAGGTGACCGGAAAGATCGGATAGCTTAAGCCAGGAAGACACAAGTGTATGCATACCAGCTTGTAAGCCTTCGACTTGTATGGCCAGCCATGTGTGGTTCCCTCCCTGTTCGCGCTCGTTTTTCCCAAAAGCTCACCGTTCAGGACGACCTCGACGCCTTGCTCAACTTTGTCGGGCGATGGGTGCCACCGGAGGAGTGTAAAGCGTCAAGGGCCTGGGAGGGGCCTTTGGTGGAAGATGAAGCCGGCAGAGTTTTGGCTCCAAAGAAACGTTCTGGCCTTGGCGGACATGACATGAGGTGGAGCATGTGTTCTTCCGGATGACCGGAATTTTCGCCCCCCGTGTTTGCCAGCTTTACCACCAGGTGTTACGGCAATGGAGCATCTTTCATGACTCTTGAAACATGCAGGGACGGATATGTCGGATATAGATCTCTTGCAACCTTTGACATTCCATCAACTTCCCAATTAGATTTAACTAGATGGCCAAATTCCACCAGTTACCTTCCACTCACCGGCGTCAAGCGAGCGCCGCTAGCTCCTTAGGCAAATCTTGGTGGCTCCCAGCCATCCCCTAAGGGTTTTAGCCTTTTAGTGTTTAGTGGTAGTTTCCATTTACCCCACTAAACGTTAAACTTTTAGCGGGGGATCTGAGGGCAGCCCAGAAATATGGGACCCTTTTTTTCCAACCCACCTGCCTTTTGATCTCCCTCTTTCGGTGCGTGGACTAAGAAACAATGGCTGTGTCGAACAAAAGGGTCCCCCCTGCTGCGCGGCATTTGCAGCTTCATGTCGATTTGACCCGTGCTGGCTGCATGTTGCCGGGCCAAGGGAGTTTCGAGATTTGTGCATCCCCCCCAGTTCGAGGTGTGAGTTTCTCATCATCTGAATCTTGTCTAAATCGCATCCCAATCGAAGCCTTTGGATGTACAAAGATAAAAGGCATGTGGATCCCAGAAACTACATCATCATGTTGGCAAAGGCTTTTGCTTTCAAAAGCACGTTTCAGCTTGAGAACTGAGCCGATGCGCAAAATCAGACATGACTCAGCAGGAAGCCATCACGGATATGGCGCGGAAGGCGCGATCTCGGCCTCTTTCTGTTTGCCCAAAGTTGGTGCTAGTTGTTTGACAGGTGTGGGCTTTGGATGTCTCTTAGTCTCTTGGTGGTCCTTTTGAGTGGCGCACCGCATGTACTGAGTTGAGACCGGTGGATGCATAGGCCAATAGCTTCTGTTTGATCAGTTGTGTCATGTGCAAAGCCATCGGCTTGACTTCGCTGCATGAAATTTGAAGCCTTTGTCCTGGATGACAGATCACCATGTACGACTACATGGACTTCGATGAGTTCTTGCAGTTCATGACTTACTATGATGCTACCGCCTCAGTCGGGAAATCTCGCAGCCAGGAGGTTGGATAGCCATTTGCTTAATGTAGAAATTGCAGCAGGGCTCCACAAAAGATACATTTTGCCCGTTTGAAACATCGCTTTTTCCACATTTTAAACACCATTTACAAGGCAATGTTCAGGTGTATAATGCATCCGGATCCCTGCAATTCGAACCAAGGACTCGCCCAGGGTGCATGCACGTTGCCCTTCTTCACTCTTGATCCACTTTGCTGTGAAGCCAACGCCAGCGAATTCATGGGCACTCGTGTGACATTTCTGCACGCGTTTTTGCGTGCAATCCTGTTCCATTCTTTTCAGCAATCGTTCTTTTCAAAAACTGATCGCCATTTCGGGTTTCTGGTGGTTTTTCTGGAAAGGATCCTTGGAAAGAATGGAATTGGAAGTTGCCCCTACACCAACGTGTCATGCGTGCAGCTGAGGAGTTCGAGCGCGCGGAGCAGGAGCGTGTCTTCAACCTCTACGATGAGGCAAGCACCGTGCGCAGGAAAGCCCAAGCCAAGTTTAGCATCTACTACCCAGTAGTGCCCTTCTCTACCGTTTCTTTTTTGGGTTCCCCTACTAAAATAGACAAACCAGAAAAAAGTTGGTACCAACTTATTCTAACCTCTCTACTGGAGGTTCAACATCTATTCAGCAGATGTGGAGCCGTGGAGCTGTTGCGACTTGTGGCAGGAGGCGCACATTGGATGGGCTTAAGCTGCATATGTCAGGCACTGCAGCAAGTTGGCTTGATCTGAGTCATGGACAGTCTGATTGGTAGGCGGAATTGTATGATTTGCGCTCCGACACCCTCGAACCATCCCCTGAAAATCACGCTCGCAACCCGTCACCACTTGGCAAAGCATTCGCTGCCAGGATGGATCTGGCAACATCTCCGTGTGGGGCTGAGATGGGCTTCTGAGCTACTGAAAAGAAGCTCCACTCGCTGCACTTTATCTCCCTATCATGCTAATTTGCAGGGAGAAGTGTTCGCTGAGCAAATATGTTCAGGATCTCTCCTTTGACACGGAATGTTGTTTGCTGCTTTCCTTCAGAGATTCTGCTGCCAGCATGGTGCCTGTGAAGGACGAGGGCATGCCCACCGCCATGAACCCACTGGAGTGACGGGGAGGAGGGTCCCCTCGGATTGCATAAAGACACCAAGACATACAACAAGAACACCGACACCTGGCAAGTAGAGCATCATCCCTTGACAATGCGATTCTACTTGTAGTGGTACGTGGGTTAATGTGAAGCACCTTTTTTCGCACCTTGCCTCGCGCGTAGAACCCCATGCTTGGACTCCAGACGGTCACAGCCAAGAAGTCGCACTCAGATTGCAGAGCTACGCTGCCTACTGCCGGGCGCTGAGATGCGACATGCGCTGCGTGCACGGCAGAAATCCATCCGCAATCCAAAGGGCAACTTCCATTTGCTTAAGAATATGTTTTCCCCTGTTGGTTTTAAAGGGAACCTAAGTCGCCAGTTGTTTGATGCTTGTTTGCATGCGTTTCAGATCTCCCCAGCCTAGAGTGTGGAAGCCAATTCCAGCGTACCCGGGGGTGGACAAATATTCTGGAGAAACTTGCCTGCCTTCAAAGATAGGTTCCGATTCTGGCATGCATTTCAAGACAGAAACCCGTGCCAATTCCAAAAAAGGAAAATGGGTGTGGCCCTTTCCGATGCTGGCATTGCGGCATAGGTGTACATTTGGAACCTGCTTGTCCACATACTTTGAGCATTCGTCGTGCTCGATCCGAAGGCAACTGGCCTCAACACCCGCACTGGCACCAAGCATTTGCAAACATATATGACCGGACACCTTGGCTGCCAGAAACATAGGTTCCCTTGTAACGCGGTTAACATTTGTGACAGGAGACCATCGCCAGGGTGGGTATGTGGGCTTGCTCAGCGGCAGCTTTTCGGAACATAAACCCCGACCAACGTGTCAGCTCTTGTAGACACAAATACGTTTATTCAATCTATGTTTGGTTGATTGCTTTGTGATGTCTTTTTCTTGGAAGGCGAGGAATGAGTAAAGGCAACCTAGCTTTCGCGCTTTGGGGCTTCGCAAAGCCATGGCGGTGAAAAAGAAGAAGAAGCCGCAGCAGGCTTTGGAACGGCACCTTGGGCCAATGAAGCGCTCGGTTGAAGGCCGGCTTGGCTCCTTTGCTCAATGAGTGGCTGAGTCAGCATCAGCCCCCGCAAGTAAAGGTTTCCCCTTTTGCCTCCCACATTCCCATCGATACTCAAGCAAAGGGCCAACACCAATCATTCTTGGGCCTCCCCAATCCCGACCCCTTTCAAGGTACCCCAAAAAACTGCCAGAAAAGGCTTTCTTTATTGTTCGCTCAGTCTGTGCTTAACCCACCAAGACTAAGCCACTATGAAACCCCTCAGCTTTCCCGAACAGAGCGCTTCCCTCAATTGCATGTTTCTTCTTAAAGTCTGTTAAGCATGACAAGGTGTTCAAGCTCACCAAGGGGAGCCCCTAGGCCAGCCCTCACAGAAAACCCTTGAAGGGGGGGGGGCGGTTGCAGGCGTGCCATGAAGCGCATCCCTTTCCAGGCCCCGGCTAGTTTTGGTCGGGGGTTCTTGGCTCAGAGTTGAGTTACTATTGACTGATTCCGATTTGGCCGTGGTCAAAACCGTTTTGGATCCATTTTTGGGGTAGGTGAATTCACCACCCAGTTGAGTTAGTCTATTTTAGTGGTTGGATTGGGATGTTCACTGGATTTTGGTACGGGATCTTGAGCCATGGCCATTTAGTATTTGGGGAGTTGGTGATTGAACAAAACACGTGTTTATTCGCAGGGTGCATTTGTGAACAGGGGCAAGGGACTAGTTTCATTGTACAGGGGAATTGGTTGAGAGGATGCCTTTCCTTGTTATCTCAGACCACATGTCAGGCAGCGGGCAAGGGACTATCCGCTTTCCTACGTCCCTTTGCCTTGAAGGAGCAAGTAGGACTTGTCATATGCTTTGAATGTCTCTTGTGCAACCTCTCCAATCAGGCTACCTTAGGGGCTTCCCTTTTCAATCTCTTTTACCTTTTCCACTCCGAAAGGAGTGGCCCTTCCGAACATGGGACACCTACGGCTGCGCTCAAGCAGGCCGTGGGTCAACACCAATGATGCCATTTTGGGGTGGGTGAATTCACCACCTATTTTAGAACCTATTTTAGTGGTTGGATTCGGATGTTCACTGGGGGTACGATTTGGGTTTTGACCCATAGCCAGCAAGCCGCGCCGCTGCTCCGAGGCAGACGCTTCGCGCGGACTTCTCCGAGGGCCTCAGCGCTTTGCTTGGTGAGGCCTGCAGCGTGGAGGACTTTCGCCGGGACTTCTTCGAGCAGAAGGCGCAACGCGCGCTTAGCGCCTTCGAGCCTTGAAGCCGTGGGACGCCCTTCCAGTGGGCTGCTTCCATTTCTTCTGGTTTATGAACCCTGCTTTTGGTTTGCAAGGGATGGGGACTTAGGCAAATGCAGGGGTGAGGCTTCGCTTTCGAGACAGGCCTGCCTCCATTGCTCACTTGCCCAAGCCGACCTTTTAACCTTTTGGGTTCCCATGTTGGTCCATGTTTGGTTAAACAAATAAACACACAAAAAACATATATATATATATATTAACAAAAAAAACTCAAGAGGTTAAGCTTTTAAGCTTTTAGTTCCCGGTCCTTTGGGCAAGCGAGCTTGGGCTGCTTCCAGTTGTGGCTTATGAACCCCAGCTAGGTGCCCTTCTTTCCCTTTTTTTTGGGGGGGGGTTTTGGGTTTTCCTGCTCAAAAATAGGCTACAGAAAAAAAGAAGAGTTGGTGCCCTTATTTTTCCACCTCTCTACTGGAGGACCTAGGATAGGTATGGAGCCCTTAGCTCCGTTCCACAAGTTTCTTCGCGAGGCGCTCCATGTGGCGAGACAGTGCCTTGGCGCACATCCAGCGGGCATAAGGGTCAGGGGCTCACGGTCGTCCCCGGATTATCAAACCCCTGCTAATCTGGTGGTGTTTCTGGTTTTAGTGGGGATGTATCACTTGTGGAGGGGAACACCCCCATATCAATAAACAGGGGTTTATTATTCGGGGGCAACATTACGACTCTGATGGGTCAATTTGAGGGGTGCTGGAGGGAAGCATTGAGTTTTTTGAATCCTTAAATAGTTCTAGTTTGCGTGGGGTGCCTCTACCTCGCCTAGTTGCGATATGCGAATTTCTGAAAGGCTTCATGTGGGAGACCAGAACTTTGTAGCTTTTGCTGCAGATTTGGACGCTTTATTCATTAGCAGGGTTGTGGGATCAAGGGGTTTATCCCCACTTCTGTGATACAAAAAAATCCCCCTTTTATATGGGGGGTTAGTCTTTGGAAGGCTCTTTTTTGTTGTATCACAGAAGTTGATTCCATTCCCCACAGCCCTCTTCTCTAGGGTCAGCAGGGGGCGCATTCTCATGCGTAACCTGTAAGTCTCCTGCCCTGTGTTTTGCTTTCTGAAGACTTGGGTTCCTTTGGAGCGTGGATGAATATTCCCCGTGTCCGACGAAGGGTCATGCAGTACATTTCAATAGAGAGCATAGGCACAAAATTATATACATGCTCAACGTATAGATCGACACATGCATACATATACTTGCATGCCCATGCATGAATGCATTCATGCAACCATGCATCAATGTATTGAAGACACGCAAACACATGCATGCATGCATTCGTGGTGCATGCACATATAGATATACATATGTAGAGATTTACACATTTATGTAGCTATACATACGTAGACAAAGATGCAGTTGACGATTTGCACACCAAGAGAGAAAGAGAGAGAGAGAGAGAGCTACAGATACATACAAGCATACAAATGCATATGCATATACATATTCAACAATATATCAACATACAGATGCACTGAAATACATTTGCGCACATGCCTGCATGCAGCATGCATACCTCACGTTAAAGTCATTCCATTCCAGACATACCACATACTTGCATACTTGCATACTTATAAACCTGCATACTGCATGCTTGCACACTTGCATGCATACAAATACACACACACACACACACGCACGGTCGCGTGGACGTGCGTACTGAGGCCCCTGCACCCATACACACGCATATACGCATACGCGCAGAGGTACATAGGCGCATACGTACATACGCGCATATGCAATACACACAGGGACACACACACATACCTACAAGCATGCATTAGTTACATACCGTACGTATCTACACACACACGCGCGCGCTTGGATACATGCATACATACGTAGTTATATACATTCCGGCATGCATCCATATACTCATATATGCATATAGATACATAGGATACATAGATGCATGCATGCACGGATGCATGCATAGACCATACACATACACACACACACACACACGTACAGACATCACGTTGCATCACATCACATCACATCACATCACATAATACAGCATCCCATATCATAAGGTACATACACACACAGGCATGCATACATACGTACATACATTCATACATCCGTAGATACATAGATGCATGCATGTGTGGATGCATGCATAATTAGGCCACACACATGCATACATACATCACCTCACATCACACCACACCACATCACACCGCACGACATCACTACACATGCACATGCATGCATGCATGCATGCATGCATACATACATACATACACAGGGCTCCTTAAAAGATACATTTTGCCCATTTGAAACATGGCTTTTTCCACCAAAATAAACGGACACCACCATTTACAAGGGAATGTTCAGGTGTATAATGTAAGGATCCCTGATACATACCCACCTACCTACCTACCTACCTACCTACCTACCTACCTACCTACATATATACATACATACATACATGCATGCATGCATGCATGCATGCATACATACATAACACACACATACATACATACATACATGCATACATACATGCATGCATGCATGCATGCATGCATGCATGCATACATACATACATACATACATACACACACATACATACACACATACACACATACATACATACATACATACATACATACATACATACATACATACATACATACATACATACATACATACATACATACATACATACACACACACATACATACATACACACATACATACATACATACATACATACACACATACACACATACACACATACACACGTACACACGTACACACGTGGACATACACACATGCACACATACACACATACACACGTACACACGTACACACACACACATATGTGTATATATGTATATGTCGTAGCACCTACCCAAGTTGCTCCGTCAGGTCTCCTGGGTACTATGCCCAGCTGGCAGACCTGTCCACTCCGGAGAGGCGGGCATCGATGCGCGCAGCT